CGAACACAGAGGTAAAAAGCACAAAAAAAACACACGAGCCGCAATCAGGTGGCCCAGCGCCCTCCTTCCCCTCTCTCTCTCCCTCTCTCTCCCTCTCTCTCCCTCCTCTCTCTCTGCGTGCACGTGTGTGCACACGTATGTGTGTGTTTCCTGAAAACTTTAGAAAAGACAGGTGAGTGGAACTTATCTTAGCTGTCTCCTTACTCTAGTTACTTGTAGGCTAGTTCTCATCTATAGCTGTTTGTCACATTCAAGTAGACATGGTAGTGTCCTGCATGGCAATGTTCCTAATTTTATCCTGTCTTCCAGGGAATACATACTTAGAGCTTTGATTAAAGGCAGTTTGGTTGCTACATAGTATAGCTACAGGGAAGGTATGGCTGTTTTATCATGGTTCTTGCCGATTCCTTGACAGTTGTTAATCACAGAAATCAAACTATTATAGCTTCCATTTACTAAGAGCCTATATGATTTGCAAAAAAAGTGGCCATTTGATATAGTTCAAATTAATTTTATGTATTTTAAATATGCAGAAGCTGAGACCCAGATTTTCATAAGTACACAGTTGTCTGACTTAAAAGCTTATGCTTCTTCAATAAGCCACTAAGACTTACCCAGCTAAGCAATAAAAAATCCAAACCTAGAAACCAGTTCTGCTGCTATCAATTATCTATCGATTATTCAATCAATTATCAACAGTTTACAAGATATAAGATGTTTTGTTTCTATAAATCTCAAAGAGTTAATAACAACCAGTATTTTTTTTCATATTTGACAGGTTCTATGAAATAGATTATATATCATGTACTATAAATTTAATAACCTTGTTTCTGAGTTTGAAGTAAGCAGCATTTAGTGGCCCCTACAGCTTGTAATATTCCCTGTGCACTGCTCAAGGGAGTAAGATGTAGCCAATGAGCATGCCTCCCAGTGCCCTTCACCAAAGTCTTTGTAAGGCACCATCAGGAAACAGTGATTAGGGTCGTAGGAATGGGAATGGAGATAGATGGTTTAAATCTGAACACTGAAGCCTAATTTTCACCTCTCAAGAGAGGAAGCAAGTGTGGCACTGGCTTTTATTTTTATTGTTAAAGTAACATGTACTTGAAAGGAATTTAAACTATAAAACTGTACCCTGGGAAAGAGGAAGATCTGGCTCTCCCAGTCCTGCTCCCGACTTGTAACCATTTAACCTTTGGTATTTCTCTTTCCTGATTTTTTTTTTTCTATTCCAGAAAACTCTGGATCAGAGAACTGTAGTGGTAGAAGGAACTTAAGGAATCCTCAGGTCCAGTTTTCACATTTTGCAGGAAATGAGAGGTCCTAAGAGATTAAATGGGGTCACAGTTATGGTAGCAGAATTGGAGCTAAACTCCAGGCAATGCTTGGGCTTCACTTGAGGGCCTATGCTATTGAACAAAATCAATAGCCCTGTTCTGTTCTAGATAAAACTTGACTGTGAAAAGCAAAAATTGAACAACTGAAGTTCAGATTGACTTTGGAATTCATTTTCAAGATTGAGGTTTATGCCATCTCAAGTAGAAAAGTTTCTTTTTATTATTCCTCCCTTATGATCTTAGATCAGCTTCTTTGCAAACTGAAATGGTATTATACCTCTTTTTTGAGCCACTAGCTCCTACAGGGTTTTTTTTTTTGGTTTTTTTTTTTACTCTGATTATAAGCAAAACTACTGGCAGAAATTGAACTATTGAAGCCCCCAACTAGTATATCAGTAACCATTATTCATTCTCCATGTGAGAGCCCCTGGTTTTAGGTGGGATTTCCACATGACAGGAAAATGTAGCTGACCTCTATGTTCCTCTCAGAAACATATCAGCAGATTCCCCTCCCACCCTCTCTCAGCCCAAGCACCTTCTTCGGTGATACTTAAATTTGTGAAAATAAAAAATAACTCTTCATAACAACATTGGGAACTTCTACTATAAAATGATGCAAATAACATTATATGGCTGTGCAATACTTAATGTATCCTGGATCTCTGAGCTCTTGGAAGTGTTTACAGAGCAATATTTATATGGTAGAATGAATACGTATGTGTATTTGTGTGTGTGTGTGTATATAGTCTTATTAACTTACACATATTTTGAATAAAATGTTAGTATTTTCTATAGGAGTATCACAGTTTAAAAATGTAATTTTCATAATTGACTATATATAATTTGTACAGTAGAATTTAGTCACATTACCACTGATTACACCTGGAAGGTCACAGAAATAAATGTAACTGTTTTTCTGTTTGTTTTAAAGTACAAAGTAGTAAACTTCCTAAATGTATAGCATAGGAGAAGATCCTCACAACTCTGAAGTAACTAGATTTAGTAATTAGAGGCTGGGAATCTTGACACAGGGAATAACATTTTGGTTATCTTTGAGCAGATACAAATAGTTCTCATGGCCCTTAGGACTTTTGACACAGCCATAGGATTCTAAAAAGAGGAAACCTGATAAAAAAAATCTAAAGTGACTACATGGCTCACCCCTAGGTTATTTGAGGCTGTTTCTTCAGTTTCAGTTGGCAGTTCATTTGACTGTTCTTTTGAATAAAAATAATGAAGTTGAGGCTCTTTCTTTGAGTTTCCTGGTCTGAGCCTTCAACATGGATATTTGAAACCTGTCATTAGAAAGTTCCTCATATATCAGGCCATTACTATGTGTAAAGCTGATGAAAGCTGCCTTTGATCTGTTCATTTGCTTATGTTTCTTCAATAAGAGGTAGTTTTCTTACAAGCAGCCAGTTCAGATTCTTGTCAAAGGTGTTAGACCTTAACACTCAAAGTTTCCTCTTAGCAGAGACTCACCTGATTAGTGATATTGAATAAAACTCTTTTCAACGCAGTAAGTTACATAAATACAGAATTTTATTTTAATTATGAATAGTCATATATTTAATCGAATATTTATTTCCTTTATTTTCCCCTTTAGGTATCTTATAGGAAAGACTTTGAACTTTACTTTTTTGCCATCTGAAAAAAAATGAATTACCTGTGCTATTTAGACTCTGATGTGTTTGGGCTATCTCCCCTCATACCTAGAGAAATTGGGTAGTACCATTTTTCTCTAGTGTGGTGTAAGGGAAGGAGAGTTTCATATCCTCCTTTACTCTTCATAAGGAAATGCAGCCTGAGAGTGATTCCACATTCCAGGCAGTTCAGAGAATTCTGAACCATAAGCTGAGCTTAGTCCCAAGTGAGGCTAATAGTTTTCCAAGTACCAGAATTTACATTAATTTAAATAGTCAGTATGGATATAAATGTCCTATAGCATCATTGTCTGTTATTTTTCAAATTACTAACACTATAAATAAGGTAAATCACTCCGACATAAACATGTTTATTAGGTCTTACTGAGTACATTAGGCTAGGCAATATAGGACTATTTACAGAAGAAAACAATACATTTTCTTCCCTAGTCATACATGATAAATTCCATGGTGCATATTCAGTGCTATGAGGGAGAAGGATTTAATCTACTTGGAGAGTTGGTATTAGGAATAATAAAAGAGCAATTGGACATGAGGAGTGTCTTCTTAAAGAAGCTAAGCTTGAAGAGGAAAGGGAATTTTTAAAATTTTTTTTAAAGAATGTAAATGGGTGATACATATAGTATGTTTTCCTTAAAGGAAATAGAATTCTGTACTCTCTAATGTTTGGCAAATTTTAAAGAACTCATTAATGGAGTAATCCATACTGGAGTTGTACTTAATGCAATCTACTTTAAGCAAATGCTACAAAAAATTAAATACATTAGAAGTCATTTATATTGTTTTTATTAGCATATTTCATTTTCATTGTGTCATTTGTAACTTTCATCTTGTTTCTTTATTTTTTAGACCTGGAATGGCCAAATATCAGGGTGAAGTTCAAAGTTTGAAACTGGATGATGATTCAGTCATAGAAGGAATAAGTGACCAAGTACTTGTGGCAGTTGTGGTCAGTTTCGCTTTGATTGCTACCCTGGTATATGCACTTTTCAGGTGAGACTAAAGGATGAAAGAATTGCAATAATATATATTCCAAGGGCCACTAACTTTCTGACTGCTTCTAGTAATGTTTAATATTTAATATGAAAAACAGATAATAGATCTCAGTGATTGTACACATTTACTAAGCCATTTTATTTTCCACCAGGCCCTAAATGCTACCATACATTTTTCCTCACATCAACTGTCTTATCAGATAAAATTTTAACTTATACACATTTTGAATAAAATGTTAGTATTTCCTATAGGAGTATCACAGTTTAAAAATGTAATTTTCATAATTGAATCCATCAACTTGTAGGTGATATAGTAAGTACAAAATATTTTCAGTGTTTAAATGGGAAAACTGAATCAAAAAAAGCCTTGGACAGTAAAGGGAATTTAGATTAGAATGAAAATTAGTGTTATAGAATCATAGAAAGATCTTAAATGACTCAGATGTCTATATACCAATATACAGAGACTAAGTAATAAACTAGAAATTTAAGTGATAAGACATGGAGATAAATAAAATTTTACATATATATATATATATATATATATAAAATTGAAAACAAAATAGGCAAAAAGTATAAAATAGAAAAATATTAATTCCAGAAATTGCAGATTAGTCCATTTTCTGTAAAAATTACAGAAAGGATTATGAAGCAGAATATGAACACTTAGAAAAAATGGTAATTAATTTACTCTTTTACCTCTGCATGGTAATTTCTTATTAGGATAATATTATCTTTATTTCAGTAGAGTATTTTAAACAGTACCTGGTGATACACTTGTGGACATAATGGGGAAATGATAGCTAGATGATAGCAGATTTAAATGAATTCATAACTAGTTGACAAGTTGTTCCCAGGATTACTGACATGTTTTATGTAAACAAAAAAAGGAGGACACTGAATTGTTTCAGGGCTCTATTCTACTCATTTCTAGTAGCAACTTGGTTGAAAAAGGCAAAAGAAGAATGCTTATTAAATTGTCAGTTGAGAAGGATAGCTAATATATTGGTACAACAGAATCAAGATTCAAAAATGGGTCATCCCATACATCTAGGGTCTTTGACAATGGTGCCAAGACCTTTCAGTGTAGAAAGAGTTCAACAGATGATGTTGGGACACCTGGATAGCTGTGTGCAAAAGAGTGAAATTGAACTCATACCTCATTATATGCAAAAATTAACTCAAAATGGGTCAAAGATCTAACTGTATCAGTTAAAGCTATCAAACTCTTATAAGAAAATATAGTAGTAAATCATCAGGATTCTTAGTTATGATGCCAGAAGCGTGAACAACAAAAGAAAAAAATAGATAAATTGGATTTCATCAAAATTAACAACTATCATGCTTCAAAGAACATCACCAAGGTGAAAAGACAACCCACAGAATGGAAGAAAATATTTCAAATCATATATCTGATAAGACTCTTATATCTGAATATATAAAGAACTCAAAGCTCAAAAAGACAAATAACTTAATTAATAAATAGGCAAAGAATCTGAATAGACATTCCTCCAAAGAATATATGTCAATGGACAGTAAGCACGAGAACAATGCTTGATAGCATTAGTCATCAGGGAAATGCAGATCAAAACCACAGTGAGATACAACTTTGCACCACTAGGATGGGTAGAATCAAAAAGTCAGATAATAACAATTGTTGAGGATGTGGAAAAATAAGAACCCTCATACACTGCTGGTAGGAATTTCAAAATGATACAGCTGCTTTGGGAAACTGTCAGTTCCTCAAATGATTAAAAATCGAGTAACAATTTCACACTTAGCAATTTCACCCCTAGCAATTTCACCCCTGGGTATATATACTCATGAGAAATGAAAACATATTTCCACACAAAAACTTATACAGGAATGTTTATAGCAGTATTATTCGTAATATTCAAAAAGTAAAAACAACCTAAATATCCAACAGATGAATGGGTCAACAAAATGTGTATATCTAATGAATATTATTCAGCTATAAAAAGGAATGACATACTAATACATGCTACACCACGGATGAAACTTGAAAACATTATGTTAAGTGAATAAACCAGACACAAAAGGCCACATATGAGTCTGTTCACCTGTGTCCACAACAGGAAAATCTATAGAGATAGAAAGTAGATGGTGGTTGCTTAGGACTAGAGTGGAAGATGGGGGTATAACGAGTGATAGCTAAAGGGTATAGGGTTTATTTCTGAGGTGATGAAAATGTTTTAAAATCAACTGTAGTTGATTAATTATATCTTAATTGTTTGAAAAATGGCTCAAATGAGGCAAATAAAAAAGTGTTCTTTACCTATAAGAATGGGATGCAGATATAAATTTATTGTCTTGTGAAAATATTCATGATAAATTGAGAATTTTTAAGTGAAAGACACATCATAAAACCGTAAGTCAATTATCCATTTTATTAAAAAATTATTTTTATAAGATTAATTTTATTTTAAAATATTTTTATTTTCCCTTATTTGTTTTTACTAATTTATTTACTATGGATACTTACTACTTGCATAATAAAAGTTTTTTCCTACAAATATGAAGCACAAACTAAAAGTTTCTATTTAATAAGGCAATTATATATTGTAGATACTAAAAAAAAATAATGTTAGGCTGCATTAATCAGAATAATCAGATAAAGGTCACATTTTTATTATATTCAGTTTGAGTTAAGAATTTTAATCTGGAAAACATTCAAGGTAGGTTATCAGAATGGGTAAAGCTATGGAAACATAAAAATGCTTGAAGGAACTGGGGATATCTAGCTTAGGGAAAAAGACTAGGACATAAAAGCTGTTTTTAAATATGAGGGCTTGTTTTTTTTTTAATAATAAGGTTTATTCTGTGTAGCTTCATAGACAGAACCAGGGTGTAAAGGAAAAACCTAAGATTTTTCCTTCCTGAGTAGGGAAGAACTTGGTTCTTCACTTGGTTCTTCCCTACTGTATTTGCCTTTTATGTGACTACTTTTACAGAGAACACTTCTCTTCTGGTCACCAAATGTGTGGAGGTTTTTTCCGCACACAAAGCAGTTCTCCACAGCACCAGCTGGGTGTCCTATAATTTAACTCAATTCTGACATCTTCCTGTGAAGGGCTTAGTCCCACAAGACTGATCCCCACCCCACTTCAGATGCCAATCACAAATAATAGGTCCCCAGGTTACCCACAACTTCTTTTTTGGTTATAATTCAGAGGTTCCCGTGATGTCCACAGGTTCAATTAATATGCTAGAGTGACTCACAGAACTCAAAGAAACACCTGTTTGCCAATTTATTTAAGGATATGATAAAGAATACAGACAGACAACCGAATGAACAGATACATAGGACAAAGTCTGGGAGAGTTGCAAATGCAGGAGCGTCTACACCCTCCTGGGGTACGTCACTCTCCTGGTATGTAGATGTGTTCCCCAACCTGGTATGTAGATGTGCTCTCACTATTGAAATTTTATGGAGGCTTCCTCACGTAGGTGTGCATGATCAATTATTAACTATGTTTTTAAGCCCTTTCCCCTATCTAGAGAATGGGGGTCTGGGATGGAACTGAAAATTTCAAGCTTCTAATCATAACTTGCTCTTTCTGGTGACTAGCTCTCACCCAAAAGCCATCCAAGAGCCCACCCAGAGTTGCCTCATTACAACAAAAGACATTCTTATCACCCAGAAAATTACAAGTGTTTCAGCAGCCCTGTGTCAGGAATATTAGAACAAAAGATGCTCCTAGTGGTCTTATCTCATAGGAAATTAGAAGGGTTTCAGGAACTCTGTGCTAGGAACCAGAGGCAGAGACTAGTATGTATTATTTTCTATTATCTCACACAAGGCCAAGAGGTGAAGATAAATAATGAGATTTTTGGCTGAACCTAAGACGAAACTTTTAAAATTATGTAAGGTGTTCCCCATTACTTTGGCATTGTCTTGAATTTGACATGATTGAGTGGGAGATCAGTTTAAGTTTCTTCCCAGTTCTTCAGATTCAAATTCAATTGGCAGTCGTAATCTTGTTACTTCATCTAAAGTAATCATTCAGTGAGCTAGGCAAGGGGTGGCATTTTAAAAGTCAGACAAACCTTTTGTTTCTTTACTATAATTTATAATTTTTTTATATATTGTGATAAAATATACATAACATAAAATGTACCATTTTGAGTGTACAATTCAGTGGCATTAAGTATATTCACAATGTTGTGTAACCAACACCACTGTCTATTTCCAGAACTTTCTCATCATTACAAACACATTCTACCAATTAAATAATAACTCCCCATTTTCCCTCCCCAGCTCCTGGTAACCTTTATTTTACCTTCTGTCTCAATGAATTAGGCTGTTGTATGTACCTCATAAAGTAGAATACTACAATTTTTGTCCATTTGTGTCTGATTTCACTTAGCATAACGCACTTGAGGTCAAAATTTATGAGAATTTCATTCCTTTTTATGACAATAATTTTCCATTGTATGTATATACCATATTTTATCTATTCATCTGTCGATGGATATTTTGATTGTTCCTACCTTTGGGCTATTACGAATGATGGTGCCATGATATTGGTGTGTAGGTATCTCTTTGAGTCCCTGCTTTCATTTGGGATTGTTGCATCATATGGTGATTATATGTATAACTTTTTGAGGAACCTCTATCTGTTTTTCATAGCAGCTGCCCCATTTGTATTCCCACAATAATGCACAAGGGTTCCAATTTCTCTCCATCCTTGCCAATACTTGCTACTTTGTTTTTTTGATAATAGTCATCCTAATATGTGTGAAGTGTATCTCATTATGGTTTTGATTTGCATTTCACTAGTGACTAATAATGTTGAACTTAGAATAAGCCATATATTTACTGGCTATTTGTATGTCTTCTTTGGAGAAATGTCTAGTCAAGTCCTTCGCCAAAAGCTAACATACCACTAATATCTTAACGTTAAAAATGTAAATCTAACCCCCACCCTAACAACCTAACCACCACTTCTAATTTTCAATACTCATATGTCTTATCCCATCCTCTTATATCAATGTCAATAACTTCTTGCCTTTGGTTCTCCATTTTAATTGTTAAGATACTAGTAGTATCTTGGCTTTTCTACATTATATAATTTTATTTTTTGTTTTTCTCTGTCCCCCTCCCCTCAAAGGTAAAAAGTTGAGACAAGGACCTAATTAAATATGGAAAAGTGTTCAAGTGCATAATATAGAATTATGTAGCTGCTTATTTTGAAAGAATTTTACAAAGAATTAAATATGTTAATTGTTCATTATTTGTGCGTCTACAATTACATTAAATCCCCAAGGTACTAGGCCACTGGATTTCATCATTTGTCAGTTAAAACTGACCTGAGCCAATAATTGGTGATATCAGAATAGCCTGGAGTGTTCAGTCCTAGAATTGGAGTACAATTGTATGCCATCATTTACATTTATTACGTTATCAGTAGTTCTAGGTTGAAAACCATAAAGAAAACCAATTCATCTGATAATATTTTATATATTCAGAGTTTATTATATTTTATTCAACAGAAATGCACATCAAAACATTCACCCAGAAAACCAAGAACTAGTAAGGGTGCTTCGGGAACAACTTCAAACAGAACAGGTATTGTTTATGTAAATATGTGCATTTATGTAAGGAGTAGATGGTATTACTCCCCTTGCATATGAAATTGTGATGAAACAATAAATTACTTTTTGGAAACATGGGCTTCTTCCTGCTTTAAATTACATTAAATTATTTTGATTATATATCTTCGGATTAGGCAAATGAATCTTAATCTATTTAGATGGTTTCATATGTTGTTTTTTTAAATTTGCTTTAAAAACGGCAGTTTTTCTATTATTTAAATGTAAGGAAATAATCACTGTCTAATTGGCTGTAATGAAATGACCAAAAAGGGTGGCTTTTTCTGTTCTTTTTCTTCAAGATCAAAGTTAACTAGTTAGGACAAGAAGAAAATTTCACCTCTGCCCCTTCTTTACTTTTAACCAGATGGACTCTCTAACAACCAGAAATGTAATATATTTTATGAAGGCTGGATTAAGTAGGATATTGTATACCTTCATGCAGAGATAGCTGACATCAAAAAACAAAAATTAAAAATTTATTTCCTATCCACCAATCAAACTTTAATTCCAAAGAGAGTTTCATAACTTATCTATTTACCAAATACTTACAGAAAATCTACCATATGCCAGACAGTGTTCTAGGCATTGGGAATTCAACTATAAACTCAGCAGACAAGAATTCCTACTTCATAGAACTTGAATTCATTGATGCAAAAATAGCTTAAGCATATTAGTAGTACTCTATTCCAGAGCTATCGTTATCAATAATTCATGCTGGGATAGTGTTTAATAATTTACAGAATGATTTCACATACAACTATTATTTGATCTTCAAACATGATAAGTAAGGCAACTATTATCCAATTTAACATATTAGATCACTAAGATTTGCTTAAATTCACACTAAGATTACATGAATAAATCTAGATAAACAGGAGTCCGAGCTTGAGGGGGATCTTCCAGGTTTTTTTGTACCTCGCAATTTCTCAGAAATAGCATACAGCTCTAGTAGGAATAAAGCTAGCGAGAGTCTATGTGGCATCCTATATGGTAGCCACTCACATGTGGTTATTTACTTTTAAATGAACTAAAATTAAAATTTTAGTACTTTAGTCACACTAGCCACATTTCACGTATTCAGTAGCCACATGTGACAACCATATTGGATAGCATAAATAAAATTTTCATTATTGCATAAAGTTCTGTTGGACAGCACTGGTAATTGTTTTTTTTGGTCAATTAATTTTCAAAGAAGAATAATGAAGAGAAAGGTAGAGAGAGGAACATTAAGTGCTATGTTTTTCTTTTCTGCACCATTAAAAATGACAAAATAGACTCTAACATCAAGCTGTGACCTTGGCTTACAGAACATTCTAGTATTTTAGGACTGTTTTTAGGACACAGGGGATTTTAGTTATAGTTTATTAATTTTAGATAACAAAAAGCTTTCATTTAGTTTACAATTAAGGACAGCTCATATTTAATGAATGTTTTACTTTTTATTTTGGTAATTTGATGTTTTTAATGTGATCTACTTTGTTTATGATGTATGCTAGGTGCCATAAAAACAGGTGTTGATAAATATTTTAAAAGATATACATTATGTACTAGTACTAGATAATTTTCTAGTTCCTGGGGTACCAACTACAATGAGTCCTACAAATAAAGTCCTTGTCTTCATAGCACTCATATTCTAGTGAGTTTTTTGATATCTGGATTCTTCTTGCACTGATGATTCTATTAAACATTCCTATTATAATCACATCAGTGATGTAACTGAGAAACATTAAAATTTACTAATCTGACTATGTGAAGGATTAAATTCAAGTTACCAGTTACCAGTGGTCTTATATTTTTCTGCTTCCAAAATGACCAAATATTCTTCTCTGAAGGTTTAATTCTGGTCTCTTGTGAGATATAGCATACATGCAACACTTGTCAGGAATGTATAAATGAAAAAGATGTTAAAAATGAAAAAAAGCTAATACTTGGGAAACAGTTTGACATTTCTTACTCTTCACCTTATGCATTAGCTCAGCTTTGTGTTACTCAAAAAAATTACTCATTCTAATAGACTAAAAGAGAAACTCCTGAGTTAATCTAGGTTTTTATCTTTAAATTGCGTTGAGGAATGAAGATAGAGACCATGCAGTTTATAAATAAAACAACAATTTAGCCTCATAACTTTATCTAACTTATAAGACCTTAATCTATTGCATATCTAAAATTTGATGAAGATGACACAGTATTGACTGTATTCTTAAATATAATTTAACATAAAGGTAATTTTGAAAAGTTGATGTGTGTCATGTGTAAATACGTACATTTTTTTTTATCAGGATGCACCTGCCGCTGCTCGGCAGCAGTTCTACGCTGACATGTACTGCCCAATTTGTTTAACATGTGACATTTCTGTCTGTGTTCAGTTACAAATTCAGTTTGTCCAGTTTTACTTTCCCTGTGGAAACAAACTGTGGACATCTCTTTTGTGGTAAGCAGACAATGCTGAACTTGGTGAAAGTGACTATTCAGACCAAGACCCATATTTGTACACAGGCTGGATTCCTAATTTTCTCTTCATCACATTTTGTATTTCATGAGTAGGGTAGATTGCTCCTGATATCCTGCTGTACTTATTAGCCACTTTTAGTTAGTGTCGGTGGGTTCAAAGATTTAAAAAACTAGTTATTCAACTTTTCAATAAACAGAAATGTGTTTCTTTGAATAGTAATTCAAGTATGTTAATACCATGAGGGACTTACTAAATCCCTCATTGTTCACCACTTTTTAGTAGTTTCATTTATTATTCATCCTTCCCCAGGCAGGAGGGTTCTTCTCTCAAGGACCCCGCTGCCCAAGACCTTTCTTTAGCTCTACTAACTCTGTTTTACTCTGAGTCAGTACAGAAGTTCTTAGCCTCTCTTTCTTCGTGATCTCGGGGAGTCGGTGATGGAGAATGGGAAATCTAGAGCATACAGTGGGACAAGAAGGGAATGTTGAATTCATACTTACTTAATATTAGTAAGGGAGTGCATTTTTCCTGACTATCCAGAAATATATAGAGAATAATGAGATATCATATAGTCATTGCTTATTATGGTCATATGAGATTAGGGAGCGTCAGTTATTACATGATACTTAACATACTTCATCTCATCTAACACCACAAAACCAAGGCTTGGAGATGTTAAGAAGTTTTACAAAGAGTACCAGCTGTTAAGGTACAGAGCCAGGTTTTAAACCTAGGCCTAACTTCAAACCCTATGCTCAATTCTATTGTGATTAGTGGCTTATATAACTACTCTCTATTTAAGATTTATCCAATCACTAGACCTATTTTTTAAAATTTATTATGGTAGCATTAACAAAATCTAGGCCTATTTTTTATTGGTAGTATTTCTTTCTGTTTGAACAGCTGTATTCAAAATTAGGTTTTCATTGCTCCCAAACTACGCAATATACATATAAAGACTGATTTAAAATGTAGCATACAGTGATCCTATAAATTGCTTTCTCCCCTTTGTATTTTTTGTCTAAAATTCATTATATGGAATTCTTAGGTATAAAGTGTAACTATTTATGATACTGGTGATGACATACTCATTTGAAATCCATACTATGCAATGCAAGGTTTTCTATACCTTTAGTAAGTAGTCACCAGCCCCATTATTGCCTCATCCATTAATTTCAACCTCTTTCCTAAGATTTTTGCCTAAGTAGCTAACAAATTATAAAACACTGATTTCAGTGTCTCTTTAATTATCTGTTGTAAATGCTAATGAGCTGCAAAATAATGAAAGATCAGACAAGGAGAATTAAATGGCCATCAGAGAAAGCAGATACTTTCCTCCCCTCTCAAATATCTGGTAGATATTCTTAATCAATTGGACACTCTTTTTCTGAGTCTTGATATGGCCTCAACCATCCTCTAACACAGTACTCCAGGCAAGTGTTTTGAATCAGTGAGGTTTGGCAGGCAAGATGAACTCTTATTTGCCAACCTGGGTTTAAGTAATTCACTGAGTAGATAACCCAGTCAATTGAAAGATGGCTCTATTGTGTTCTTGGTTTTACCTTTGGGTCTGAGGTAATAGGGTAGATTGCTTCTGATATCCTGCTCTACTTATTAGACACTTTTATTTACTGTCTGTAGGTTCAGAGGTTAAAAAAACTAGTTATTTAACTCAATAAAAATTATTTGAATAATAGTTCAAGTATATTGATACCCTGTATAACAAGAGCACTTTAGCTTGGTTCCTATATATGGAACTAGTTCTGTTCCTTTATAGTGAGTTAAGAGTAATGCAGTAACAGACTTCACTTTACTTACATTTGTAGCCTTGTTATTTTAATTCCCCAACAGTCTTATAACGTCTTAGTCCCATTTCACAAATAAACGGATTTACAGAGATTGTGACCCAGATTAAAGTCATTGAGTCATCTCTCCCACAATCCTATTTAGGTGCATCTCTCTTTTAAAGAGGGAGAAAGTTGAAGAAAAGGGAAAATATCAAATATATCATAGCAGATATGTATGAACTGAAGTGTTTGATTTGCTGGACCATAGTTTGTCAGTGCTGGCAAGTGGCCATTATACAATTTGCAGAACAAGGACACCAACACCCAAATTTGTGGAAAAGAGATGTGGGGTTAAATAAATTAATAGATGTCAAAAAATATTGACCTTTTGGGTGAAAAGGTAGTAGATAAACCTAAGGTTTCATTACAGATGGTAATAATAATACTAACAAATTTAGAAGGTTTGCTTTTGTATAGTTTCTATATGAAATTAGATTGCTCAAAGTACTTAATAGTATCTAACACCACACGCTGAGAGTAGGAAAAAAATGTCAGATAAAGATTGTTTAGCTTTTATATTTATCTTTAAATTGTTGAACCAGTTTTTCTCCATAGTCACTGTAATGTCCAATCTGGACAGTCTTTACTGAGCCTACTGCTTGCTTACCAGTCTCCTCATATACCATTTATTTCTGTATCCTGCATTTGCCCTTGCTATTCATAAAACCTGGAACATCTTCCCTCTTATTTCTGCCTATTTAAATCTTTGCTATCCTACAAAGTTCAGTTGAAACCCTATCTCTACAAGTTTCTCTCAAACATCCCAGAGAGTTCTCTCTGTACTCCTTTTGTATTTAAAGTTAATATTACACAGTTCAAGACTTAACTACCTTCTGATTGATTTAAGTATGTCACCTTGGCTCTCCTCACTTTGATTGTCATTGCTTGTTCTGAATTCTGGAAAATTAGTTGATCTGGGAGAATCAGAATAAGGAACACAGGAAGCTAAGCCAAGTTGCTAAGATAAGAGTAGGAATACAGAGAAAATCCTGGAGATAGAAGAGAAACAGGAAGCACTGAGTTCAGATTCACGGTGGGACCTGGATGGTCTGAGAAACCGGTGTCCTGCACAGAAGAAAATGAAGTGGCCTCTTAAACATCAGACAGTATTTAAAAATATTCCTTCTTCATTTGTTATTGGTCTATAATTTAGTGCTTCTACACTTACCTCACCCACCACTTTCTGAGGTCTTCCTTTAGGCTGTGTTTAGCTGTTTTGCTGCTCACAAACACCTGCAAGCAAAAGAATCAAACCCATACAGTATAAAAGTTGATTCAATTATTGAACTGAATTATAAACTTTCTTAGGGCAGAGAACATGTAATCTTTGTATTACTGTTATTGAAAAATAACTTGGCTTTATAAACTCATAAAAAAATAGAAGTTGTTTTTTTTTTGTAACATACATATCAAATTTGGAACAGAAAATCTAGGCCTTGTTGGTGACTTGTTGGTGACTTGTTGGTGTCATATATAAAATGATGTTTAATTACTGTTTTATTTTACATAGGAAATGCAATATTTTCTAGTAAGCCTCATAGCACTGAAGCAAATGATGCATGCTTGCTTTTAATTGTACAAGAATGTCTGTATCTTACCTGATAGTTTTTTAATGGCTGGGAATTATTGAAATTGCCTGAAGAGTGTGTTGGATGAAGTAAAAAAATATTTTAAAATAAGGTAATACTGTTAAAATATTTCAAATATTTTAAATTTTATCAGGATATATGGACTTTAAGACATCATTATTAATGTTTTTTTCCCATTAGGTACCTGCATTATTGCATACTGGCGATATGGTTCATGGCTTGGGGCAATCAGTTGTCCAATCTGTAGACAAACGGTAATGTTTGTATCCAGAAAACATCATTTATGCTAGTTCACTTTGTAAATTTTTATAGCTTCTATATCTAGCTTTTGAATTATTTTGGTATTTTTAGCCAAACTGCCATTATCCAAAGCTTCTTTGATGTTACTCCATTATTTTTTAATGTCTTAATGTTGCCCCCGAAAGGGAATTCTCTTTGAAATCCTTGAGTTGTAGTAGAAAAAAATGGTAAATGAATTCTCTCCCAAATCCTAGTCAGTCTTTGTTTAATACCAGCAAAGGAATAACTAAATTAGCCCATCAGGCTTAAGTAAATTCCCTTACATATACTTCTTTTGAAAAAATTGTTTTTCTTTCTTAACTTATTTTAATCTCCAGTAAGGTCCAGATAATTTTAAATGAAGATTGATAATTTTTAAAAATGCCTCTTTTGGAAACATAACCGCACTGAATTATCCAGAAGAGATGTGACCATTATAGTTAGAAGAGAAGCTATCTCAGGAGGGAGGCAGTATGTTTTTATAAACATATACTGAAGACTAAAATGTCAGCACAGATGAGATTGCCAAATTTTCTGTTTCTTTGACAAACTAGAAAAAGCAATATACTGAAAAATCTGAGAAAATGAAGTTCTTAGTTTTTTAATTAGTAAATATAGCAAAATAGGACAATCTATCAGTTGTGCATAGTTTTTTTACTTCCCTAATAGTTATTTTCCATGTAAAATAAAAATATATACCTTTCTAATAATGAATTATGAACATGTAAAAGGACAGCATCTCCTTAGGAAGTCTTCTAGTGTGCAAAATAAAGTCCTAAAAAGGTAAATTTCCAAGTAAAGATGTCAAATTCAATGCAAGTATTTACTTTTGCTCTCTCTTGCAACCCCACTAAAACAATAATAAAGGATATTTTATAAAGACACAAAACCACAGAGACCAAAAAATAAAACAAAATGATAGAAATGTCAACAATTTTTCAAAACTTATTTGTAAAATATAACAGACATACAGAAAAGCACACAAACAAAGAAGTACAGCTCATTGAATTATCCCAAAGCAACACTTGAGTAATCACCACTCAGATGAAGAAACAAACTGGCCAACAGCCCCAGAACCCCTTCCTCTCCTAGATGTAAATACTATTTCAATTTTATGATAAGCATTTGATTTTCTTTATAGTTTTACTATCTTAGCATGTACTCCTAAGATTATTGTTTAGTTTCGTCTGATTTTGGACTTTATATAAATAAAACTATATGGTATATATTGTTAAATGTATATACACATACATACATAATATATTTCAGACTTTGTTCTAGCTATCCACTGCCCTCCGTCACCGCCTTCCTTTTTTTGGTATAGAGAAGGAAGTTTGGGGCTTTTTCTTCTTCTTACTTCTACATTTCCAAAATCTGCCTCTTTTACATTTGACTATCACATGGTCAGAGGGAAAATCTATTTTTTTTGTACTGTGTCTCTGGATGATTTTATATGTGACACAAGGCAGTCAATACTGAAACTTATTTGCCAGTACCACTTCTCATCATCTTTAGCTATCTGCCAGCAACACTGAGACCAGGCCCTAGGCTTTGCATTAAAGAATAAGTTCTACCACCTGTGACTTTTCATAGGGTATATATAAATTAGCAAGTAGTATCCTTTGGACCACCCATAAATTGGCCAGAGGCTACGAGAGTGGAGATAAAGTTGTTTTGATATAATAGCTTTTGGTTTCCTAACTATAGAGTAATTCATCCTGGAGGCAAGACAAGTGGCAGATACCTTCTCTACCTCCTGTTTCACTGGAAATAATAATGCATAGGCTGCTGCCTCTGGCTGGAACACACCACTTCTCTCCCTGAAAGCATACACTAACAAACCAATGGCCCTACCTGTGTTTCAAGGGCTAGCTTAAGTTTAAAACTTTCTAGACACCCCAGGGAGAAGTCTTCACTTTCAAGCATCATTATAACATCTACCAGAGGCCTTAGAACAGGCTGTTGAACAAGCCTGTCTCCCTTTCTATCTTAGGGATTGTAATTACCAACAGGTAAGGCCGTGTCTTAATTTTTTTATGTATCAAGCACTTAACACAGTGCCTTGCCAGCAGCAGGTGCACAGTGAATGGTTATTGAAAGAATACATTTTTATTAATGAATTTATGAAGAAATAACTGTACCTGCTGTTCCTACTACCTACTGCTGTTAGTCACTCCTTTGTTTAGCTGTTTGGAAGAACATCTGAGCAGTGAGAAGCCCTAGTTTTACAGCTGAACAGAAGGATATAAACAACAGCTAGATGGTTTAAACCTAAATCTGTCACTGCTCCTTCCCATTTTTATCCCGTTGTACAGTGGCCAGTTCTGTAGGGGTTTTTCATGGTACTATCATTTTCAGTTTACTCAAGTGTGGTCATGGGACATTTGTGTATCCTTACCTCTACCATGGAGGAAAAAGGGTTTAAATGTATTATGTTATATAACAGTATCAAGAATTACCTTTTTTGATTATAGGAGGGATAGGTGATTGAGAGCTGGTCCCTACAATAAATGTATCTCCGTAATATGGTTGGTAGCATTCAAAGACATTTCAAATACCAGTAAGGATAAGGAATCATGATTTTAATTAAGAAAGAAATCTCTTATTTTTCTCTTTGAACATGATAGGTAAATATTTGTATATGTCACTTTGCTCCTGAATGTTTTCTTATTATTCTTGTATCTTCAAATATCTGTTAGCCCAAACAGAGAACTACTGACTTCTTCCCTGGTGTGGATTGGAAAATATTTTATAGGAGTTCAAATTACATTTTGCGTTGGATTTTATTGTAAGGCAACAGTAACTTACTTTAAAGAAATGATGAAATATAAATTCAGAAGCTTTTCTCATTTTGTCGAACAACACAAAATGAAAAAAATTAATGCTGCAGAAAAGTGTAACAGTTTTTTTCTATAATATACAGGTAACTTTACTGCTACCAGTATTCGGTGAAAATGACCAGTCTCAGGATGCTGTACGATTACATCAAGATATTAATGATTATAACCGGAGATTCTCAGGGCAGCCCAGATCTGTAAGTAATGTGATAGCAGGTACTAAGTTAGAGTATAATAATACTTCTCTTCGATAAAGTGACATTTACTAACAAATATTTTTTGACCATAAAAAATTTCATTGTTTATGTGTGTTGGGTAAAGTTTTTACCTTCATCTTTGTTGTCATTCACTGAGTTAAAGCTTTACCAAGGACTACAGTTTTTTTGTCTTAAAAAAAAAAAAAAGGCATTATAAAAGTCTTTTGTGAAAGAGATACCAGCAAAAAAACAATAAGAAAAATTGGAGGGAAATGTAAAATTATCAACTCCTATGTGGTTCTAAAGTAGGGTTTGTTTTATAAGAAATGTACAACTAAGAACTTCTGAAGAGAGTTTTACAATAGTGTTTTACTCTACCTGGCCCATTTGAAATGTTCCCTTAAGTAACCCTAGGATTCGTTTGTTGTTGTCATTGTTGTTGTTGTTGTTGTTGTATAGCATCTTAGCTATTCAAAAGCATTCTAGTTTTAAAGAACATTAATTCTACAATTGACCCATCCCCTAAAAAAAGGCATGATAGATTAAAAATTCACATTTTACTCTCATTCTAGTTTTCTCAAAATTGAACAAAGAATTCTAGAAGTATGTGTATGATTGAATATGTATTTCAAACACCAGAATATACTAAGTACAAATTTAGTATACGGAAAGCCACACCTCTCCTCCGAGCTCTAGACTATATATCCAACTGCTTAGCTTACATCTCCACTTGGATGTTCCATAGGCAACTCAAACTTAATATGTATATTATTAAACTGATTGCCTTCTGAACTCACTTAACTCTTTTTTCAGTCTTACTGAATTCAGTTTTGATTTCTTCCTCTTCATCATTCCTCTAAGCTGATCTATAAATAAGTAGTATCATTTCTTTTCTCTTATGGATATCCTGTCATTTTTACCTCATAAAAATGTCCTATGTTTGTATCTATCATGTTGGTTGAGGTCACCATCATCACTTGCTTAGGCAACTGCTGTGGCCTCTTCACTTTCACTTTTTTCTCTGTACAGCAGCCTGAGTGATATTTTGAAAGGCCATGATACTTTTGTGTTTTAAAACTTGCAAGTTTTTGGAATAATGTTCCAACTCCTTTCTGTGCATGACCTGGTTCCTCTCTCCCTCCCTCACCATACTTCAACTATACTGACCTCCTTTCAGCTCTCAGAATATGCTCCAGGTCTTTCCACCTTAATGCCTTCACACGTGCCCTTGCTTCTGGAATGTTTGTCCCTCTGCTCTTCCCATGCCTGACTTCTTATCTTTTAGGTAGTTCTTAAATAGACCTTTCTCAGATAAGCTTTCTCTGACAACTAAGTTGTTTTCTAGTATTGCCCTCTACATTTCCTTCTTAGCATTTGTCACAAACAGTACTCAAATCCTGTTCATTGTCTTTCTCTCAGTAAACTAAAAGCTTCATAAGAGCAAGGATTGTTTATTTAGTCACTACTATATTCTCATTGCTAAATTCAGTGTCTGGAATACAGTAGGTCCTTAATATTTTGTTGAATAAAGTAATAAATTATCCTTAAGATAAGAATTGATACTGGTACTCCCAGCTAAGAATGTAAGCTATGGAAACGCTTCAGTATTAAACAACTGTGTACTCTTCTACTCCCTTGCTCATAGTCCTTATTCTGTGATGTTGTGTACATTTGAAAGTATACATTTTCACCTGTTGTAGATAATGGGTAAAGTTTTTAGGTGTTTAAGCAATAGGAAAAACTTAATCAAATCATTGTTGTCCTCCATAGTTATCTGGGAGCCTCTTCTGCTGTTTTTGATCCAGCAAGACATTTAACTTTTTGATATTTTACCTCATTCAAAGTTATGTAATAAGACTGTCATTAATATACAAACATTTCTTAATAACCCATTTCATATTTGTCTAATTATTACAGGTTTTGTATAAATAATACCATATGTGTTCTGATAAAGGACAGAAAAGTATTCAAAAGACATACTGGCTGGTCATTAGAATATTTTATTATTATTTTTTTTTTAGGTGAGGCAATCCTTGGTTGACCTCATAGATTGCAAGGACCTTGTCAGCTTACAATCCCTTATTTATTTATTTATTTTTTATGCCTACAGCACCTGGTCTTCCTAGGTGGTCTCCCATCCAAGTACTAACCAGGCCCAACCCTGCTTAGCTAACCCTGCTTAGCTTCCGAGATCAGACGGGATCAGGCTTGTTCAGGATGACATGGCCTTAGACTCATTAGAATATTTAATTTACCATGCACCTTGTAAAAGCTCTGTAGCTATTTTACTTTAAATATTAGTTTCTTCGGTGGAGAATAGAAAATTAGCTTAGGAAGTGATCCTAAAAAGACCATTTTTGTTCTTTTATGACCAGTGTTCCAAAAGGAGTTACAAGATTTTATCTGGCGGAGTTTTTAAAACTTTTGTTCTCATCACTTGCTCAAAATTCTTCCCATTTTTGTCTCCATCTCCCTCTCAATTTATTTGGCACTTGTTAAACAAATACATGCCTACAGTTGGATTTATGATATTTACAGATTATTAAAAATAGCTGAACCGTGGGCAGTGGAATGACCACAGTAAGTGATTTACTTCCTCTGGTCAGTTTCTTTCACATCTACCAACCCGAGAAATGAGATAATAAAAGAAGTTATGTTGAGGAGTCATGGTAGATCATTACTACACAGGCCCTTATAGATCATGTAGTCAACTAGCTATGACACAGAAAAAATGAGAAGTTGGCACTCAGAGAATAAACTGACTTGCTTAAGGTCAGACAAATATATATTGGTACTCTTTTTTTTTAACAGCTTTATGTAGACTTAATTTACACGCCATAAGTGCGCCTGTTTAAAGTATACAATTCAGTGATTTATAGTATATTTGTAAAGTAAATAATCTAATTATAATTAGATTTTAGAATATTTTCATCTTCCCCAAAGCTTTAGCAGTCCCTTCCCATTCTCCCCAGTTCTTGACAGCCACTAATCTTTGTCTCTATAGATTTGGCTATTCTGGATATGTCATCATTTCATTTGAATGGGATCATACAATATATGGCCTTTTGTCTCTGGTTTATTTCGCTTAGGATGTTTTCAAGGTTCATCCATGTTGTAGCATATCACAGTACTTCACTGCTTTTCTTGTTGCTTTTTATTTTTTAGTTACAGTTGGCATACAGTATTATATTAGTTTCAGGTGTGCAACATAGTAATTAGATACTTATATAACTTACAGTCATCACCCTAGTAAGTTTAATACCCATCTGACACCGTACATAGTTATTACAATATCATTGATTATATTCCCTATGCTTGTACTTCATTGCCTTTTATGGACAAATAATGTATCACATTTTGTTTATCCATTCATCAGTTGATGGACATTTCAATTGTTTCCACTTTTTGACTATTATGAATAATGTTGCCATTAACATTCGAGTACCAATTTTTGTGTGGACATGTCTTCATTCCTCTTGGGTATATGCTTCATTGTGGAATTGCTGGATATTATGATAACACAATGTTTAACATTTTGAAGAACTGCCAAACTGTTTTCAAAAGGGGTCTACATTCCCACCAGCAGTATTTGAGGATTCCAATTTCTCCACATGCTTCAGTTTTTAAAAATTTATGTAATTTGTTCAATTTTAGCTGTGAAAATTATGCTCACTTATGTAAAAATCTAGTGATTGATGTGTTTCTGTAAACATTCAGAAATTTAATCATTTTCAGAAAGGTAGAGTGGCATTTTAAAAATCTTTATGGCAGTAATCTGCTTAAACTCAAGCTAAGCAGAATAAACATCCTAAAAAGGAATCAGTTTCATTGCTATTCTTAGACTGTTGAAGTTAATGTATCATTAATGTATACTACTTACATATTGTCCAGCAATTTATAAAGGTCTTTTATATACAGTATCTCTTTTAGTTCTTAAAAGTCCTCATGGCACATAAATACTCAGTTAGTTGTTGACTTGTCTCTAGTAGGTTAAACAACTTTCCCCAAGGTCACCTAGCTAATAAGTGATTGTGAATTCGAGCCTAGATCTGTGACTTTAAAGCTGAGACTTGAGCATAAGCCTCAGACTCTAATCCTATACACTAGGTTCTTCATTTAGTTTATTTTTCTAACTCGAATTAGAGATAACTTGAGTTTTATATTATTATGTCCTGTATTTTAAGTTTGTCATCATTTTAGTTGCTTTTCAATTATCTGCAGTAAGACCTATTTTATAAGAACCTAGTAATCAAAGAAGTACTTAAAAATAAAATGCATAGCTAAAAAATATTGTGTTCAATCAGTATGGGAAACTCCTTAATTCATATTAACTGTCTGCATGTTATAAGAAAATTATATTTGAAGTCTGACACTTAGATGTCAAATCTTAATATTTGTTCTTCCCCCTACCAGATTATGGAAAGAATCATGGATCTACCCACTTTACTGAGACATGCATTCAGGGAAATGTTTTCAGTCGGGGGCCTTTTCTGGATGTTCCGTATCAGGATAATACTTTGTTTAATGGGAGCTTTTTTCTATCTTATATCACCTCTAGACTTTGTACCTGAAGCCTTGTTTGGAATTCTAGGCTTTTTAGATGATTTCTTTGTCATCTTTTTGTTGCTTATCTACATCTCTATCATGTATCGAGAAGTGGTAACACAGAGACTAAACAGGTGAAAAAAAGAATTTACTAAAATATTTCAGCTAATGTGTAAAATCAAACAAAAGAACCCATGGCAGTAGAAAGTATTTGAATAATATGTTACAAACTTAAAACCACTGTATGACAAATAGTTGATCATCATTTGGTAAATACCTAGCAATATATATGACTGGAATTTTTAAATGTTGCAGGTTCTAATATTAAGGTTAGAATTATAATAATTTACAACTGTATCTTGATTGTGCTGTCCATAAAGTCTCTGGAAAAAATATGGAATTATACAAAAAGGGATATATTCATCTTTTTCTTTTCCCTTAAATTACTCAGATTAATTGGATGTATAGTATGATATTGTTAAATGTACACGTTTTCCAATTTATCCTTCTCAGTGGGTACCTATATAATAATATATTTCTATTAGACTCATCTAAATATTTTTTACAATAAAACATTGCGCAATATTGGGGAAAATGAGTTTCTTTTAGTATTAGCTAAGTTTTATGCATTTGGAACAGTTCTGCTTTTCCATTCTGATATAGTTCTTTGTTATCAGCTGAAAGTGAAAGAAAAAAGTTGACTTTATAATTTGATTTCACATTCCGGTTACAGACTACTTCTTAATCAGTGGAAGAGTTAACAAGATGTTAGACATTTACCTCCAGTCAGCACACTTGTGATCTCAGTTATGACATTTAAACAAGAATTTGGTCCTTTTATAAGAATAGTATATCAAAGTAACTTGTAAAGGAAATTTTTTTCTGGAACCTGGGTGATACTGCAAATACATAGTAGCTTGATGCATTTCTGAGAAGAGTGATTCTTCATGGCTGGAGCATCAAAGACCTTAGGAGGGTACTAGGAACACTTTAAATTTGACAAGAGAAATTACTGGTGAGCTAGAGCAAAAAATGGACAGATTTGGTTAGTTTTCTCTTGTCAGAAAACTTTTGTCATACTGTCCCTAGATGGCAGCATGTAGTCCAGATTCATCAGATCTTATACTGAATAAGCAAATGTTGTCTGAGGTGATTCAATAGGAAAGTTAGCTTGGTTTTTTAATGGCTACAGCATAAGTATCTAATGCTCTCTTCCGCAGTTTTGTTTGAGAAGAATCAAAACTACAAGTATTACGAAATCCTAACTCCCTCAGCTGGCATTTCTCATTAGCAAACTAGACAGCAAGATGGTCATTTATGCCCAGGGTATTAGCTCTGTCACCTGCAATCACTGATATCATACTGTCCATTCATGTATTAGTGAGCCTCACTATGTATAGATAGGGTGAAAAAGAACAAATCTGTCACAGTCTCCCAAGTTAATCAGATTAGCCATCAACTAATGAGATGCTAAGTAAAATATCAGTAATAGTGTTTTTTAATTTGGGCTGAGGACAAAACTGTTGCTTGTCTTAGAGAAAAACAATAATGCTTAAATATAGCACATTATAATTAAAGAAATTTCTTGCATACTTTTCATTTTATCCTAAGAGAGTTATGTAAAGAAGGCAGGGCATTGTCTTCCTTTTTATAAACAAAGAAATCCCAGTGTTACAGATGAAAGTTTTTTTGTCTGAACCCATGCACAAATAAGTGACTGAACTGGTATTAGACTCTCAGTAGGACTCCTGCATGGGTTCAGATAGATGTGAAGGTTACTACAAAGAGGGGAGGCATGAGAGAAACTGAGGTCTTTTGAAACAAATTATAGAATAGCTTGGGTGCTCCTAAGAGGAAAGGTCTAGAAAGATGACATATCAAGACTTCACGAACCCTAATTCTCCACTTTTAAATCAAAGTTCTATAGGGTGGCATACTTCACAAACATTTCAGCTGCAGTTACCAACTTAAAAAACTTATGAGTAGGAGTTTGTTACACTAGACTAGAAATGCATTTCCTACCAATTACAGATTTGGTGTGGGGCCATATAGCAATGTTATTTTTGAAAGAATTTCATTTTCTGTGCATGTGTTCTGCTTCAAGTGTCACATTTCCAGTTACAATAATTTTATTGTAATATTTGGAATTCCTTCTAAGACTTTCCTGGTAGAGGTGTATTGTACCAACTTTTGTAACATATAAAAACACTATGATCTGAAGTCTTATTAAACTTAAAAGGGAACGTACTGACATCTCAAAATTTTAGACCTGCTTGTCTTTATTGATCACTGATAATGTAGAAGGGATCTGAAAATATGTAAATAAGTAGGTAAGCAAGTAGTCAATCAGTATTTTAAACACAGTAATACTTCTGTGATTCAGAGTGAGATCATATAAATCAAAGCAAGAATTTGGAGTTCTGTAAACAACAATACTGTAAAAACAGATGGTCCAACCCCAGGAGCAGATGGTAACTTGGGCAGGCTTACGGGGAACAAGGAGGAGGAAACAAACAATTGCTCTAACTGCCCACTAGAACAGTGGTTGCAGCTACTCTAATTCTCAGCCTTTGAAATCAACAAGGGAAAAAAGGACTGTGCTGGTCCCTGTAGCTGTGCAGATACCTACCTCACGGAGTTGTAGAGGATTGATGGTTTTGTTCAAACTTCATGATTTAGAGTTTGTCACGCAGTATTGTTTTAAATAAAAGCAATATATCTAAAATTAAAAAGAGTAGGTATTTTCCTGTTTCTTTGATGTTGTTTCCTTTAAAATTCAGAACTCCTGAAATAGCATTCAATATAATGGTTGTAGTGAGACTTTCTTTTTCACTAATGGGCGTCTAGTATCTCATCACATTTTTAATTAATTTTGCTTATTTTTAAATTTAAAAAGTAGAAATGTTTTTGTTTTTGTGGAAAATTATGTAATCTGGACAATCTATATTAATTCTGGCCAAGAAGGGTGGAATTAGAATTAGAGATTAGACCTGCACTCTCATTCCCCACCCTTATTCTTTTTCAGTGTATATTTGATAACTGAAATGTTCTTTTCTAAGTCTATGTCCTTATATTTGTATCAACACACTCTCCCTTCTCTAGACTCTTCTGTTTTGCTAAACAGCAACCCATAAAGCTGGGACTGAGTCAAAATAGGAAATGGCAAAGTTTGAAGGCCTTAAGACTTGTCTCCAAGGACCAGGCCAGCAGGCTTTAAGGGCTGCTGACAATCACAGAGATCAAGACAATCACTAAGCTTATGTTGTTCTGTCAGAACCAGACCATTTTTGTGGCATCAATATTTGTTTTAAGCATTGAGTTCTAGAATGCAAGCAAATTTGAGGTGTTATCAGTCACTGTCTTCATTCAACTGCAACCTCTGACTTCTCCCATGTCCCATATTGGTTGGTGCATAAGAAGAAACACCATAAGAAGACATTGAGCACATTTGCTTTATTCCTTTTCAGATTAGCGGTATTTAGCTGTAGTCCTTTTGATGAGATTGTAATATATAATGTAGGAGAGGGCTAAGGGCTAAAGATGTTTTAAACTCACTGACATCTAACGGTTTAGATTTTAATGTTTAAAAACAAAATTTAAAACTTTAAAAATACCTGATACCCAGCTCAGAGCATTCAGCCTTCTAATCAGTCTTAAGAGAAAACTTATATCTACATGAAAATTAATTTTATTTCACTAATCCTAGAATATCAGAGCCGTAAGGGTCCTTACAGACTGGCTAGTGTTTGTGTCTTCTCTGTGAAAATCAGATGAGAGCTATGGATAGCTCCCCACAAAAATGTTTATATACACATGTATGTATAATTTTGATTTATTTTCTGCAGATGTGAGACCTGACAATTCATGGATTCCTAATTAAGAATTCTTCATTTAATCCTATAGTCTTACTCTGCAGATAAAGATAATGAGGCCCAGAGAGAATGAACGCTAGGGTAGTTTTTAAAATAAAAGTTTATAGAAAAAGCATAGTTGGATAGAAATTAAAATCTAAACTGTTAGAAATCAGTGAGTTAAAAAAACATCTTTAGCCCTTAGCCCTCTATTATGTCAAAACAAGTGATTTATTTTTCTTCAGTTCATCAAACAAGAAGACAAAGTTTATCCTTCTAGAATAATTGTGACAAAACTCTTGTATGTTAAGGGTTAAATTTTATTTTTTCCTTAAAAAGTGTTATATTAGTAAATAATTAGCTCTTGGCCCTTTAAGACTTAAAAAACATCAAACTTCTAACTAACCTTCAGTTTATCCCTATTTATCGTCTTTCCCTTAAATGGTCATATAAAGCTAAGGCATACATTCATTTTTGATAGTTACTGGTCAAACGAAGCTATCAAATGAGTATATAAACATCTCATTCTCTCAAAAAAGGCAGTTTCGCATATATTGTCGGCCCATTTAATAAGCTGTTTTATTAAAGTACATTATTTTATAAATTAAGGATCAGATGATTATCATAAAGTGAACAGTTTAACCATCACTTCAGTAAAGATAGTAACACCATCCCATTAAGCCCCGCTTCATTCCCTCTATCCCAAAAGTAACCTCTTATGACTAGTTTTACCTACTTTTTTTTATTACTCTACAAAAAATAGAATCATGTAGTCTATTTTGTGTGACTTATTCAACATTTGTAAGAATCACCCATATTGTGTGTTAAGTTTTTATTTTGAGTGCTGTGTAGTATTCCATTGTATGACTATACCAGAATTTATTCATTCACCTAATAAGAGGCATTTGGGTTGTTTCCATCAACATTTTTACAAATCATATACAACTAGCTGCCCTTTTAAAGAAGTGGGCACAATTACCCAACGACATCAGCTTTACACCTTCCTCCTGTAGGACAGCAGACTCAAAAGACCGTATTGCTCTCCACTCTAAACCACCACTGATAAATTAATCCAAGAAAACAGGGGCGGCAAAGCCGAGGACTGTATTCAAACTCCGCTCTCCCAGCGACTGTTCCAAGGTAAACTTCCGGAAGCTTGGAGGCCGCGCTCACTTCCGCAACGCTCAACCCATCACGCGACACGCCGGGCGTCAGCCAATGGCCTGCTTCCCAGGGACCGTTACCTCTGACCTCAGGGCTAATCAGAGACAGCAGGACGAATTCCTCGCGAGAGGTGAGGTTGAAGCTGCCTCCGCCATCTTGGAGATGGGAGATGGGAGATGGCTGTGGTCCTTCTGCTAATGCAAACAACAAAACGGGCACATTAGTCACTCCCGAGGGAGACTATCATCACTGTAACTGTTGGCCAAAGCTACAGAAGAAGCGAGGGTGTCAAAGCCGAGCGCAGCAACATTGATAGCTTCACCTGCCTGCTGGACGGCAGAAGTGAAGCGACCGAGGATCAGAAGGATGGTGCAGTCCTGTTCCGCTTACGGCTGCAAGAACCGATACGATAAGGATAAGCCCGTCTCTTTCCACAAGTAAGTACCCACCGCGCCTCGCGGGGCCGGCCCCAGCTCGGGCTGGGGGCGCGCGGCCGGTTAGGCTCGGGGGCGGAGCCAGGCGCGCGTCCGCGCGAGACCTAACATGAGGGGCGGAGGCAGGGGCGGGGCGCGGCCGCAGCTCCTCCGGGTCTACTCCGGGCTAGGGAGCGGTGGGCGTGCCAGCCTGTGATCTGAGTCCGCGCCCTGACTTCCCCGGCTGCGCGTTCTCGGCGCGCGTCGCCGCGGCGACCGTTTCTCGCGCTCAGGATTCCCGTCTGCCGCGCTAGGTACGCTCGCCGCCTGAGGTTGGCGGGTTTGCGGCCCGCGCGGGCAATGCCCTGCAGGTCGTGAGGTCTCCAGGCCGAGAGAAATCTGGATTTCTATGGGTCATAGAAAAGCCAGGTGGTAATAACCCTTAAATTTGTAATAGAAACAGAGACCTTGAAAAAGAAGTAACTCTTTTTCGTCCTTGCTATGGATGGGAGGCCAGCATCCTTAATGATTGACTCTTCACCAGGATATCAGGAAGGATGTTTTTGACCCAACTTCTAGAAACCAACATTTAAGGACCTTTTAAGTTTTACACAGTTTCTGGTACTGCTAAGATGAATACTTGAGCCTAGGACAAAGCTGTTGCTTATCATAGAGGAAAACAGTAATGCTTAAATATAGTACGTTATAGATGAAACTTTTTTTGTCTGAAGCCACAGACAAATAAGTGACTGAACTGGTATCAGACTCCTATAGCTACTAATACTCCCGGTATTAGTTCAATAGGACTCCTACTCAGGTTTAGGTAGATGTGAAGGTTATTCCCAAGAGGGGAAACAGAAGAGAAATTGAGCTTCTGTTTATGTTTTCAGCACACGATGATAACATGGACAATAGTAATACGGCCCTGATCAAGTGCTATGATAAAGGTCGACATGAGCTATTGTGGGTGTACAGAGGAAGCCCTTAAAGAAGAACCTGCCTCACAGTCTTCAGGACTATTTTGTCCAGAAGGCGCTGCACTTAAAAGTCCTAGAGCAAAAATGTTCTCTTGAAAACCACAAAATGGAAATGACTTGATGATATGATGGCATTTTCATCCAGTCAAATTCTATAGTATTTACAAATTTTATTATACTTACATTAAAATCTGCAAGAATTCCATACTGTAAATGATGATAGAAATTAGAACCAGTGGTACATTAGATGAATTATTCATAGTTAAATAATTACAAAAGTAGAATTTTAAATATTCCTTCAGTTTTTTTGGTCGAGGTCATTATGTTTAACAGTGGATGTGGATGCATTTTTATATGTTTGATAGAATACAAGGGGGACCCTACAGAAATAAGAGTGTTTAGAGCATAGAGAGACTTTTGAGAATGACGATGTTTCTCCCTTCTGAGAAGGGAATAGAACATTTAACACTTCCAGGATCCAGTTCTTGAGTTATTGGAATTTCTGAGAGCTGATGAATTGATCTCTCTAGTACTTTCAAAATGGAGGAATAGGTCTGGCGATGGTGACACAATCACGTGCATTCAGCTCCCCACCTCGTTTCTAATGACACGGCCTAAAAATATGGAAAACCCTTCACTGGCACTGGACACTAGTTACAGATGACATTCACACATTAGAATTATGAGTTTCTGCTGGCTGTTAAACAATTAATTGAATCGAAGGAAGGGATAACTTTCAACACTCATCCCTTATCTACAAGAACAAAGTTGGGGGGACTAGAACCTCACAAACAACCAGAGCGCTGTAGTCCTTGAGTCAGAAAGCCCTAGGTGCTGAACTTTACCAGTGGTTGCTACCATTGTTTGTGCTTCTAGAGGCCATTTCTAGCAGGGATCTTCTAGAAGTACTTCATTCTCCAGTTTCTTCATGGTGGCAGAGGGAAGAGCTATGCTGCGCAAAGAAAAGGTACCGTCATAAAGATCAGTTAGAGCCTCATGATAACAGCAGAGTCAGGCTCCAGCATACCTCACATGGGAGAGAAACTGGAACATAGAGTGGAAACATCCTTCTTTGGCTTCTTTCCAACTCCTCCCCCCACTGCCATTTACTAAATCCTTGACCAGGAAAAGTAAAATCACAATAAATTTAAACTCTTCCTACTTCTCTTTATCTGGGCCTAATGGACAAATTCCAGTAGATTAAGATAAATAATTTATTAATCATTATGATTTAACTATAATTTGATTAATTCATATTTGTCAGACAATTCTAAGAACACTAGAAGCTTCTTATTAGTACATAGATATAAACATGCAGTTTTGTTTTATAGTACACAGAAAATCACTGGTAAAAAAATTAACACAAATTTGCCCTGTAGTATGTATTTTACTTGAAACTTTCAGTGTCTTTCAGTGTATAAAAAGTTAAATAATAATAAATGAGATAGATAGGAGAGCTACATGGTTTGCCCTTGTGTATATAGATGTGTATGGAATACCTGTATCTGCTATTGAAAGTTATTTACTGTAGCAAATGGAGGGAAAAACATTATTGCTTATGGGCCTCTCTGCCGTCAACCTTTCATCACCTACTCTTATCAGCGTGGCCAACTAAACATATATATTTTTACTTTATGTTAAAGTCTTAATAAGCTTGTCTTGTTTAAATTGTATACAACATTATACCGTACATTTTATGACTACTGTGTGATCAACAAGATTTCTTTAAGAAATACTGCTTTTTAAAAAACAAAACAACCATGCTGGGAGGGGTGACTTATATCCCACATTAGTGGATGTTTACTTTATAGGGTCTAAAACAAATACAGTTTTAATGAACTAAGGTGAATGAAGGCACAATTAAAAACTGTCGAAAAAGGCAGAACTAGTGTTTTAATCAAATATTCCTTAGTTTATTAACACCAGTGTAAGATAGTTCTTTCCTAAACAAGAAAGTTTAAATGTGGCTTTTTTTTTTTTTAAATAAGGTCAGATCAGAGAACTGAATTATGTCGTCTTCTTAGGTTTCCTCTTACTCGACCCAGTCTTTGTAAAAAATGGGAGGAAGCTGTCAGAAGAAAAAACTTTAAGCCCACCAAGTACAGCAGTATTTGTTCAGAACACTTTACTCCAGACTGCTTTAAGAGGGAGTGCAACAACAAGTTACTGAAAGAGAATGCTGTACCCACAATATTCCTTTGCACTGAACTACATGACAAGGTAACATGAGTTTTAAAATATTGGGTTATTTTCTGTTTATAAAATTAATGTGTACATTGTGGAAAATTTGGAAAATTCAGAGTAGTGTTAGAAAATAAACGTTACCGGGAAGCTATCACTTGTAAATAACCACTGTAAATAGTGATATACTTTTAAAAAATACAAAATATAGTTTATTAAAATTAAATATCCTCACACTAAGAAACTCAAGCAAGCTTTGTAATTTACTTTAAGATCACTCTATACACCTACTTGTATGTTGATCAGTTTTAGTTTTTATCAGTGACAATTCAGTTTCAAAGTATTTTACCCATCAGTTTTAAGTGCTTAATATTTAATTAAATTTTGTTAATTGTTCTGTCTCTTTCTCGCATCCCATTTCTTCTTCAGGTAGAAAAGTATAATTAAAGCAAACTATTTTCTCATTTTGGAATGTTTCTTTACCAAGGATTCATTAAAAAAAAAGTTTAATATTCTTAAATTCCACAGATAAATTCTTTTAAACTGTTATATTTAGTTACTAAATTCAAACATACTCTGCATTATTGTTTTAGAAGGAAGATCTGTTGGAGCCGCAAGAACAACTTCCCCCAGCTCCTTTAACACCTCCCATTTCCCAGGTCGATGCTGCTATTGGATTACTAATGCCTCCTCTTCAGACCCCTGATAATCTTTCAGTTTTCTGTGATCACAACTACACTGTGGAGGATACAATGCACCAGAGAAAAAGAATTCATCAGCTAGAACAACAAGTAGAAAAACTCAGAAAGAAGCTCAAGACTGCACAGCAGCGATGCAGAAGACAAGAACGTCAGCTTGAAAAATTAAAAGAGGTTGTACACTTCCAGAAAGAGAAAGACGACATATCAGAGAGAGGTTATGTGATTCTCCCAAATGACTACTTTGAAATAGTTGAAGTACCAGCATAAAAAAATTAAATTTGTATTAGTTTTTAATGGGGCAATACCACATACCCTCTTCTAGCCTATAAAGGAGTTTCATTTGAAAAAATAATACTTGATTACTTGTATAAAAACAATTCAGAATATTTTTTTAAAAAATAAATTAGATATATACTGTAAAATTGTTTTTTGTTTGTAATTTCAAGGTTTTTACATTTTAACAAAATATTTTAAAAGTTATAAATTAACCTCAGAGTTCCAATGTAAGTTGGTTTCAAGATTGGGGATTTTTGTTTTTTGAGTATTTATAGAAATAATGTAAAAATAAAGGAAAGAGAATGAGAACAGTACAGTAAGGATGACTTAAGTTTAAAATTTAAAATTAATGCAGTTTATTGAGAGAACTTATATTTTAAATCAGAGGCATGAGTTATATCATGGGACATAACTTTTCAGAATATATATAATCTTATTCACACATTTTTAAAATCAGAAGATTTATCTTTCTTAATCACTTGTCATAGATAAATTGGCAAGTTAATACTTAAAAAAAAAAAAGATTGGCTGTCTTCACAGCCAGAAAATGAAGTCATTCCATACCTAATTAAGATGGTTAAGTAACTTTATAAAGAATGGATTTTTTAAAAGTGGGCCCCTCTTTTTTTCTGCACTGTGTAGCATTATGAAATTAGAAGTGTATCTCCAGTGGAAGAAACGCTCCTTAATAAACAAGTTAGGTGTTATCAATGAAGTAATAAAAATGGGGGCCCAATCTATGCTATGTCTTTTTCTCTTATTACCCCAGAGCCAAGTAAGGGACATCAGTTCCCCAACTGCAGTTATAATTGTATCCAAATCTCTAACAGATAGGTTGTGTCAGTAAAGTTTGATTTGTACTGTAATATGGTGTTATTGACCTTGACTAATTGATATTGGTCAAGGCTTCTCATAAAAAATGATTACTTTTAACACAAGTTAGAAATCATATTCTATTTACTGAAATGAATGATCTGTATTCAAAAGCAACCTAATATGTAGGGTTTATTTTCCTGAATGTTGAGATTTAAACATTGAGGTTTCTGTTTAAACTGTGAATTGTATCCTGACTTTGTGATAAATTTTACATATATTTGAAATCAAATATGTTCTGAGTAAACAAATACTACCATAGGGCTTATCTGCTTAGATTTAGAATAATTGTTCCAACTATAATTATATTTCAGAGTACACTGAGATACCTAAAGAATAACAGACCTTTTAAGGCAGTATTAAGGATAGGAAACAATGATGTTCAAAAATGTCTTGTAAAGCCAGTTTTCAGTGTAATTCACTGCCATCCTGCCAGTGATAGTACTTTGATTCATAGAGATTTGATTTTTGGTGAACCACTATTTTGAAAATAGAAAGTTATGATTAGAAGATTACTTGAAATTATATAGTCTGATAACATTTAGAACTAACTGCAGTGAATCAGAGGAGTTTTTCCAGTTATTCATGGATCTTGTCACTTTAGAAGTCACAAAGTCTCCAAGTAGTTCGTTTTTACATCTCATCTCTAATAATTCCTGAAAGATATGTGGGTGAATATTTTCCAAAGTACATATTTTTGATCTAAATTGTCATCTACATAAAACCTGTGTGCATGTGTGTGTGTGTTTCCAGAACCAAGAATCCAACATTGAATTGTAAAAGTGATCATAATTATTTAGCATCTTTGCATTATTTAACCTGAAGCTATTTCCTTTTCATAACAAGACATAAATCCCTATTTGGAGAGAACTGAGCAAGCAACATGTACAACTGTTTGTATTTAAATAATTTATCTACATATAGAGAGTTTGAGGTACAGTTGCTTATTTCTGAATTTGAGATAAAACATTCGTTGCATGTTTTTAAAGTTCATTTTGTCTATTGTATTATGACATTGCCAAGAAAAGGAGAGCATTTAGGCTAAAGTAGGCCCTGTTCGAGCATAGTGAAACTCAATCTGAAACAAACAGGGACAAAGTCTCAATCTGGAACAAATGGGGAGAAGACTTATGTGAACTGCAGCATATTCTGAAAGATGACATTTATTTTAAGCGCATATAGTATCATACTAAAATTTCCACCTATGTGTGACAATCTGGCAAAGGTGAGAAAAAATAACTTTCTTAATAGAGCTGTTGGAAAGCTATAGAATTATAGAATTTTAGATTTAGAAGGACTTAGAAATCATCGAACACTAGCCCAACCTCCAAACCCTGAAGAAATTTCATTGTAAAATATCCCTGACAAGTGGTCATCTGTCTGTTTGCCATTTACATTTAAGCAATTATTCTGCTTAGATTCTTTAAAGTGAGTTTCTGGATTAGAATAGAATTAGTTGCCACTCTTTTTATACTTGTTTATAATGCAAACATAAACTTCACTTTGAACTGCTGCATAGTTTGAACTGTCAAATTCTATATTAAAGAAGTTTTAAATTTTTGTAAAATAATTTAAATGTTTACTAATTGTATACCTGTTATGTGTGCTAAAAATATTTCTGTCATTGCAGTAAAGAAACAATGGTGTTTAAAGTTATTAGCAAAACTTTTTACTTGGAAATCCAAGGACATGAGGAGATTGTTTTCTTTCAACTATAATTTGTGTAATCCCTTTCTTAGTAGTAAAATAATATTGGTGAAGACAAATGAAAGTTGCACTTGATATGATTTTTTTAGGTTAAATTAATATTCTCTGATCATCTCTAGTTATCAAAAAAATTATGCACACATACCCAACAGCTATGGCTTTTATCAAATCAGTAATGACATAAAATATTGTATTTAAAGTCCATGTGATCTGTGAAAAAGAAATTCCATTTGTGTTCCAGAATTTTTAAAAGACAGCCAGCCATGAATAGCATTTAAAGGAGAAAGAATGAACAGATTTGCCTGCTTGGTTATGACTCTTCCTAATGTTGGGAAGTGAACTGGATGAGCAAGGAGTGAAGAGCATTGCTCTTGTCTGATGGTAACTAATGTTTCTGGGTATTACGGTTTCATATAGTCGTGTATTAAAATGCAATTCTTGATGTGAAAGGAAAATAGCAAAGAGCAGACAGCCATTCACAGACAAGCACAAAAATAATTATTGTACTTTAGCAGAAAAGTTTGCCTGAAGTAATAGTCCCGTAATTCCAGTCTTGGTATCTTTTTTTACCTTGGATGTGGTTTATTCTACAGAGATCCTTTTCTGAATGATAAATACTTTTTAAACTCTAAAAATCTATTGAGAATTTTTATTTTCTAAATTCATAGTATTTTGAGTTTCGAGATTATCAAAATTTGATTTTTTAAATATCCCAAGGGATATGAATAAACTTTCATTGTTTTAAACTGTTTTTGGTGAAACAAACTACAGTATTAACAATAAATAGACAAATGACTTGTGGAGTGGCCACATAAGCTCCCCACCATAACCTGCCATAACCATGAAAAATAAAACAACCATTTAAAATCTCTTCATGTTGTCCTAAGGACATACAACAAATGAAACATCCAGGAAAACCTAAATTTAAGAACATTAAGAAGCTGTGGTATTTATGTCACAACCTATTCTCTTCCTACACCTCTACCCCCAGCCCACACACACATACATACCAACACACACACATCAGTGCTGCAGAGACTCCACTCTGGGTGAGTGTGGTCAAGAAAACAATGCTCCCTCTCTTCTCAATCCCCAATCAAGGACTGTGGTATCTAACAGAGGAACAGTCTTCCAGTATTTCTCAGGCCCCTCTAGCTTTCTGTTGGAAATGCTAAATTCCAGAAAAGAGCAACCAAGAGGTCAGGACTCCCTTTCTCCACCCAGCTCCCATTCGTAGATGGGGGTTCTACCCCAGGTACAGCAGGCCAAGAATACTGGGACCCTGGTCACCTCTCTCCCTAGCTTTCCTATAGGGCAAAGTTTCCATGCCATGCTAAGCCAACCCAAGAAGACCAGAGACTTCCCATACTATCTGAGTTCTGCTCATAAAGCTGGCATATCAGTCCTAGAGACCACAGTCCCTACTCTCAGCTCCAGAGCAGTAACTCAGACTTTTTCCCAGGGAAGAGGCAGCCCATAAGAACCAAGAGCTCTGAAGTTCTTCCCAAAGGAACTGATTTTATGTGGAAGAGTGTGGGAGAAGGTCAAGCCTAAGGGTGCTCAATGGAGAATTTAATGATAAGCAATTAAGAGGAGGCTGATAGCTTCACTAGAGCAACAACTGAATTAATTGTAGGCTAGCTAGCTAATTTATAAGAAGAGCCCTCCTGAGGTCATAACAAACCTCAAAGACTAACCTCAAAAACTACCTCTCCAAAAAGGTGCAAATGTGATTGAATCAGACTGCAGAGCAATTTATGCCCCAGGACATCATCAAAAACAGCAATCAACTGGCGATTGGAGCTAATATCTGAGTGTGATACTAGTAAAGGCATATAGTTTAACAGAGAGATTAGGGGCACAGTCAAAGGCCTGTTAAAACCTCTGTCACCCGAGGTGACTGTGCATGCCTAAGGCTGCACCTTCTAAGGAATGAAATCAAGTTTGTCACGTGAAACTTTGGAGGCCAAAAGGCAGTGGGCCGATGTATTACAAGTGCTAAAAGAAAAATGCTATAAACGAAGAATCCATTCTCTGGCGAAACCGTAAATTCACAAGAGAGAGAAAGTATGACATTCCCAGATAAAAGCTGATGGAATTTGTTACCACGGACCTACCCTGCAAGAAATGGTAAAGGGAGTCCTGCAGGGTGAAATCAAAGGAAATCCTAACTTGAAGCAGCACGAAGACAAATTAGAGTGTTATAACTTTAGGATGCAAAATTTAATCTTCATGGTAACCACAAAGAAAATGGTTATAGAATATACACAACAGAAAATAAGGGAATTAAGATATTTTACTGTAAAACAAAAAAACAGTGAAACATGAGAGAAGACAATAGTGCAGGAAATGGGCAAAAATGCTACAAAAATTGTGATTAAATAGCTAAATGACAGAAGTGAGTACCTCTTTATGAATAATTACTTTATATGTAAATGGAATAACTCTCCAATCAAAAGACAGAGATTGGCAGACTGGGTTTAAAAAACATGATCTAACCATATGCTGTTTGTAAGAGACTCACTTTAGAGCCAAAGACACAAATAGATTAAAAGTGAAAAAATAGAAAAAGATATTCCATGCAAATAGTAACCTAAAGAGAGCAGAGGTGGCTACACTAATGTCAGAGTATATAGGTTTTAAATCAAAAAAGTTTACAAGAGAGAAAGAACATTTTATAGTATTAAAAGTTTCAACACAGCATAAGCTATAACAATTATAAACATTTATGCAGCTTATAACAGACCATCAAAACAAGAAGCAAAATTGACAGGATTAAAGGGAGAAATATACACTTCTACAAAAATGAAGGTGAAGTAAAAATATTCTCAGCTAAACAAAAACTAAGGCAATCTTAGCACTTATTTTAAGGTGAATTACTAGCGACTCACCTTTAAATAAGTACTAGAGGAAGCTGAAAGCAAGTGATATTCTACAGTAATTTAAATCAAAAAAGCAAAGATTGCTAGTAAAGGTAATTATAAAAGACACTATAACTGCATTTTTTTCCTCTTAACTGATTAAAAAAGCAATTGCATTTGTACATATTGTGTGTATAATTGTATTCTTAGGTCTGTAACAGAAATGTAATCTATTCGACAATAACAAGTGAGTGGGAAGAAAGCTGTGCTAAAGCAAGGAAATAACACCAGATGGTAACTTGAATCCCTAAGAAGAAATGTGGACTAAAAAAGAAGGAAATTCTGACACATGTTACAACATGAGTGAACCTTAGAGACATTATGCTAAGTAAAATAAGCCAGACACAAAATGACAAATACTGTCTGATTCCACTTATATGGGGTACTTCAGAGTAGTCAGATCATAAAGACAGAACGTATACTGATGGCTGACAGGGGATGCGGGGGAGGGGAGCATGGGGAGTTATTGTTTAACAGGCATAGAGTTTCAGATTACAAGACGAACAGGGTCATGGGGGTGGATGATGGTGAATATATTTAATACCACTGAACTGTTCACTTAAAAACGGTTAAACTTTGTGTTATGTGTATTTCACTATAATAAAAATGGATGTGGGATATTGAAGCTCAAGCTGGTGAAACAGGTTACTCAGCTGCCCTTTACAAAGAGGGTTTTTCCCCTCTGGCCCTGTGTGACGTAGTATGTCCCCTTCTCTTGGAAAATGTAGGTAATAAATTCTTCTTTCAATGGCATTGACTTCTTCATGTTGGCACTCAGTCACTTCGATAAATTAAAATCCTGCAGGTGTAATTTTAGAACCCAGGTCTGACAGGCCAAAACCTGAGGTTGGGTCTGGAGGTCCTTCATTCTAAAAAGGCCATTTTCTCCTCTAGGAAGCTCCCATAATCATGGCTTCACCTAAATGTTCCCTTTGGATCTCTCCCATCACTCTCCTCCATAGTTAGAGTGTTATTATGGGAGTGGAGTCCTTCTACTGGGCACTTTCACAGTGCGCCTGGCCATCTCTGCCCAACCCAGCACACTGACCCACAGATTGGCAAAAGCACAGGAGATCTTTGGATTCTGCCTTTCTGCCTCTGAGCTTCAAAAGAAACACTGTTCTTCATTTTTACATCATGTGCTAGTAATAGGTGGATTTGGGACTCTTGTGCACAAAAGACTCACAGTATTAACCAACCCCAGGTCTCACAGCTAGCAAATGATTTCTCTGGGATTGGAACCCAGACTTCACATCAATTTTCCTGATTTTTACAAATCCTATCAGCTGCCTACTGCTTCTTAGTTTTTTTCAGAAAAGTATAAGACAATCTCTTCCCAACATTTCCCCACTCCAAATATATAGTGCTGCTGAAATGTTGCTATTACACAAAGCAGCTAAGTGACAGTTCAGGACAGTACATAATTAAAGGCTATAATCAGTGGTTGTGACAAGTAAAATGACTGCCTTTTTACAGCTCTTTGCCTTTGATTGTTTTCCTTAGCTGGAATGGCCTCTCCTCCCCAGCACCTGGGAAATGCCTTTGGTATTTTTGGTCTCCTTAGGAGCACCTGACTACCTAGGTGCTCTCTCCTTTGTCGCCCCTCCCTCGTGTCTCTCCTGTACTCTGTGGAGACTTTTTATCCTACTACCTATAATACAGTAATGACCTTAGTTGTTTCCATGCCTGTCTCTGTTAGACTATAAGATACAGGAAAGCAAGGGTCAAGTCATTCACTTCAGTCCCCTAAGGAGGTGCTCAGCATATAATAGGCTTTCGATTGTTAAGAAGTAATTGTTGTGGCGAGAATGATTCTAAGACCCACGGAGCCAATTGAGATTAATTATGAGCCTTTATTAGCCGGTCCAGCTACTGACTCTCTACCAGAGGAGATCAGCCCCGAGCTCCCAAAAGAGGCAGTTTATAGAGCCTAGAACCATACCCTTGTTTAACATCAAACAATCGAAAAGATTAAT